AAAAAGAAAGAAAGTTATCTTAGTCTATTAAGGTTGCTATAACAAAATACCATAAATGGGGTGGCTTATACACAACAGAAATTTCTTACAGTTCTAGAGGCTGGGAAGCTAAAAATCAAGATGCCAGCAGATTTGATGTCTGGGGAGAGCATGCTTCCTTGTTCGTAGATGATGCCTTCTTGCTGTGTCTTCACATGGTAGAAGGGGTGAGGCAGCTCTCTGGGGCCTCTTCTATAAAAGCACTAATCCCATTCGTGATGGCTCTGCCTTCATAACCTGATCGCTAATCCCATTCATGATGGCTCTGCCTTCATAACCTGATCGCTAATCCCATTCGTGATGGCTCTGCCTTCATAACCTGATCGCTAATCCCATTCGTGATGGCTCTGCCTTCATAACCTGATCGCCTTCCCATGTTGTTATTAAGAAGATATTAAGTTGATATTAAGAAGAGGTCCCACTTCTTAGTATCATCACTGTGGTGGTTAGAATTTCAACATATGAATTTAGGAGGACGCAAACATTCAGACTATAGCAAAAGAAGTTTTGTGCCTTAAGAAGTTCTATGGGTTATAGTAGGTCAAAACCGTTTTTTTTTTTTTTTTTTTGGAGATGGAATGTCACTCTGTCACCCAGGCTGGAGTGCAGTGGTGTGGTCTCCGCTCACTGCAACCTCCGCCTCCTGTGTTCAAGTGATTCTCCTGCCTCAGCCTCCAGAGTAGCTGGGATTACAGGTGCCTGCCACCACGCCCGGCTAATTTTTGCATTTTTAGTAGAGACGGAGTTTCACTATCTTGGCCAGGCTGGTCTCGGACTCCTGACCTCATGATCCACCCACCTCGGCCTCCCAAAGTGCTGGGATTACAGGTGTGAGCCACCACGCCCGGCCAAAACTGGTTTCTGGTTTATGAGTTCAGCAGGTATTTGACTCAAGATTCCTCAATTTAGTGATGTCACACAAAATGGTATAAATAAATCTGATTTTTTTTCCATCTGGACATCTATATCCCAAGCAGTCACATCTCTTCTAGATCATGTCCTAATCTTAGAACAGTTGCTCCCATTTCTCAGACTTTCTAGTGGGATAATGAGAGCCTTCGGAGTGTAGAACAGGCTCACTTGTGCCATGATTCAGATACTCAGCCACAGTGAAGATGCACTCTAAGCCCAACCCTAGGGAGAGATTTCAATCTGTGACAGTAGTCTCCAAATGTCACCAACATAAATCACAGTCATCTCAAAGCCCTTCAGCAATACATAATCAGGAGTTGAGCAACTAAATGACAGTTGTTAGTTTTATTATCATCAGTAAAAACACACAAAGAGATTTCATTCATCAGGGGCAGCAACATTCTCATTCCCCTTTCTCTCTCATTACATTGCTGCACAACACCAATGCCTTCTCACAGTTCCCTCTTGCATGATTCTAGGTTTCTTCAAGAAGGCTTTCCTGCAGCCTAGTTAGCACAGAATTCTTCATCTTTCTCCCTACTTCTCTCTCAGCTCTTTACCATGTAGGTCAATTTAGCCTCCCTGGCTTGCTTCCTTCCTGACAACCTCCCCCTTTACCCAAATTCTACCCTAGAAGCAATTAGATAAAAGTAGATGCGCCGGGCGCGGTGGCTCACGCCTGTAATCCCAGCACTTTGGGAGGCTGAGGTGGGTGGATCATGAGGTCAGGAGATCAAGACCATCCTGGCGAACACGGTGAAACCCCGTCTCTACTGAAAATACAAAAATTAGCCGGGCGTGGTGGCGGGCGCCTGTAGTCCCAGCTTCTAGGGAGGCTGAGGCAGGAGAATGGCGTGAACCCGGGAGGTGGTGGAGCTTGCAGTGAGCGGAGATCGTGCCACTGCACTCCAGCCTGGGCGACAGAGGGAGACCCCATCTCAAAAAAAAAAAAAAAAAAAAAAATGTAGATGCATCAATAAAACATCTTTTCTTCTTAGGAAAGAAGGGTTGGGAGGGAAGGAAGAAGACAGCAAATACTTATTATTTGATATCTTTTATTCTGTTACTTTCTTACCTTTTTTTTTTAAAATGATTTAACTACAAAACAAAAACATGAAATAATGCTTTTTCTTTGAGAATATACCTGAACACTTTGTCTCAATTGTCAGGAAGTGCAGAACTAAATTCAGAGCTGTACTGGTCTTTGTTTGCTCTTTGTCTATTCATTCCCTACTGATACGTTTATTTATTTATTTCAAGTTAATTTATTTTGATCCTTTTAAAGAGCTTCCTTGTAAATGCACTTTCAAATAACAGCTTTATCAAGATACAGTTGATATATCATAAAATTCCCTTTTTAAAAGTGTACAATTTAGGCAGGGTGCAGTGGCTCACACCTGTATTCCCAACAGTTTGGGAGGCTAAGGTGAGAGGATACTTGGGGCCAGCGGTTCAAGATCAGCCTGGCCAGCATGGCAAAATCATGTCTCTACTAAAAATACAAAAATTAGCTGGGCATGGTAGCGCACACCTGTAATCACAGTTACTGGGGCAGCTGTGGCACAAGAATTGCTCAAAACCAGAAAGCAGAGGCTGCAGTGAGCTGACATTGTGCCACTGCACTCTAGCCTGGGTGACAGAGCAAGTCCCTGTCTCAAAAACGTGTACAATTTAGTGATTTTTAGTATATGTGCATATAGCAAATGGCACCACTATCATGTTTCAGAGCATTTTCATCACCTCTGAGAGAAACCCTGTACCCATAAATGGTTGCTCCCCATTCTGCCCTCCCACTAGCCCCTGGCCTTTTCTGGATCTTTCATGTAAATAGGATAATAGAATATGTGTTCTTTTTTGCAATTGGCTTCTTTCCCTTAGCATGATGTTTTCAAGGTTTACCCATGTGGTAGCATGTCACAGTACTCTATTCTTTTTCACTGCTGAATGATAGTCCATTGTATGGCTATACTAGATTTTGTTCTTCCATTCGCCAGCTGATGGCATTTGGGTTGTTTCTACTTTTTGGTGATTATGAATAATGCTTCTATGAACATTTGTGTACAGTTTGTGTGTGGGCATAAATTTTCAGTTCTCTTGCCCATACACCTAAGAATGGAATTGCTGGGTCATGTGGTAATTCTATGTTTAATATTTTAAAAACTGGCAAACTATTTTCCACAGTAGCCACACCATTTTACATTCCCACCAGTAGTGTATGAGAGTTCTAGTTTCCTCACATCCTTGCAACCACTTGTGATTGTCTGTCTTTTTTATTTTAGCCAACCTAGTGGATACTAAATTGTAGCTCATTTGTATTGTTTTTAATGATTAGTCAAAACAATTTGTGTCTGTGTGAAGTTGCTTCAAATTCTTTTTTTATTGTGCTAAAATAAAAATAACATAATATATATCACTTTAACATTACTAAGTATACAATTCAGTGGTGTTAAGTACTTTTCAATGTTGTACAACCATTATCACTATCCACTTCCAGAATTTTTTCCATAGTCTCAAACTGAAACTTTGTGCCCATCAGACAATAGCTCTCATTTTGCCTCTTCCCCAGTCCCTGGTGACTTCTATCTTGCATACAATTTCTATGAATTAGCCTATCCTCTGTACTTCATATAAGTGGAATTATACAATATTAGCCCTGTTGTGTCTGGCTTATTTCACTTAGCGTATTTTCAAGGCTCATCCATGTTGTAGTATATGTCAGAATTTCTTTTTTTTTTTTTTTTTTTTTTTGAGACCGAGTCTCACTCTGTTGCCCAGGCTGGAGTGCAATTGCACAATCTTGACTCACTGCAACCTCTGCCTCCTGGGTTCAAGCAATTCTCCTGCCTCAACCTCCTGAGTAGCTGGGATTACAGGTGCTTGCCAGCATGCCTGGCTAATTTTTGTATTGTTTTTTTTTTTTTTTTTTTTTTTTTTTAGCAGAGATGGGGTTTCACCATGTTGGCCAGGCTGATCTTGAACTCCTGACCTCAGGTAACCTGGCTGCCTCGGCCTCCCAAAGTGCTGGTATAACAGGCATGAGCCACCACGCCTGGCCTTAAATTCTTTTTGTAAGCAACTCTGGCCTAATCTTAAATAATAAGCTAACACAGAGAATGTGCCTCACCCTCCAGCATACTGTGTGTTTTGGCTTGAAGATCTTGGGACAGCTTCTCAGAGGAAGACACCACTCCTCCCCACAGTTGCAGCTGTTCACCTCCCAGACTCACTGGTAAAGTTAGAAACGCTTCTGAAAAACTGCCCATCTATATTTTCCTCACAGCAGTTGTGAAGACTTGCTGAGGTGTAGAGCCTTAGAAGAGGGGACATTTCGCTCTCCCTGATGTTTATATACCAGCAATGTCCCGTTGGTCGGGGCAGAAAGTTGAAGCTGCTTTTGCTTATGGAGCTCATAGAGTGTATGTGCACATACCAGCAGCCTTAATTTTAAAATCTGACCCCAGAATTATGCTGTCTACAGTTTTATCTCATTGATTTTTCAAATAAGTGTACTCTAATATGTTGTTTTTAGCTGTAACTGTCTTAAGACATGTTTGTCCAGCACATAGGCTTGGCAAAATCTGTGACTGTTTGAGATGAACTCCATTCTTTATTCATAAAAAAGGTATGAAGCAAATTCCATTGACTTCTGATATGTCATGTTTATACAGTTTTCCTAAATAAATACAAAAGGAGTTATCAGCATTCTCTTGACTTCCTAGATTAAAACTTTGGAACAGACTAAAGCCATTGAAGATCTAAACAAATCCAGAGACCAGCTGGAGAAGATGAAGGAGGAAGCTGAGAAAAAGCTCATGTCTGTCAAGTCAGAACTGGATACCACAGAACATGAGGCTAAGGAGAATAAAGAAAGGGCCAGAAACATGATAGAAGTGGTAACCAGTGAAATGAAGACACTAAAAAAATCTCTGGAAGAAGCAGAAAAGAGAGAAAAGCAGGTGGGTCTAAATCTGGTGATGAAACCTTGTTTAGGAAATGACAGGACAATTCAAGAGCTGGATATTAATAATTATTCATGCATTTCTTTTTTAAAAACTATGGACTGTTTCATGAATTTGTATTTCATCATTTCGCGAGGGCTGTGCTAATCTTCTCTGTATTGTTCCAGTGTTAACACATGTGCTCCCGAAGCGAGAGCTAGTCACATATTTATTCAAAAGAAATTTACAAAGCTTTCTGTATCTTTTCAACATATCCACCTGCCCCTCCAGCATCTTTTGGCATTCAAGTAACCATTATGATTCACTCCGCTAAGAAAAATTGTTCACGTTTCATGGCACACATTGTAGGAAAGGAAAAGACATTCTTAGTCAAGCAGCGGAAGGGTTTCGGTGAAAAAACAGGTTCTGGTTCTGGGGAGGTTTCTGTTCTGTTAGGTGATCACCTCTGAAGTTTGCATCATCACAGAGCTCTTAATGTTAACCAGGGCTTCGGCCTCAGGAGGCATGCCTTATCTGTAGCAGAGATCAGTCGCAGGAAACAGCCACAAATCTCAAACAGTGGCACCCAGTCTTGATGGCCGACCAGGCACAGATGTAAGCCATAAAAAAGTACTCATTTGCTTGCTGGCTACAAGGAGGAGCATTTTATCTAGTGAGTCCATCAGGAGGTCAGGCATAAAGAAACATGTACCGGGCAGCTTGACCTCCATTGCTTTTGGCTTTTGTCTGTTTCTCCTTTTGAAGCTCAAAAGGGCATAGAGTGGACTCTGATCCTAGGTATTTTTCCCCCTGCTTTGGCTGCCTCTGTTTTGGTTCATGTGTCAGGCAGAGATGGGGAAAGCCAGACATCACATTGAGTGTTCTCAGAAAGGAAACTTCTTTGGAATGAAAAGCTTTGGCCACATTGGAAAGGGTAGAAGTCTGAGAGAAACTTTTTCATCAGTGAGACTAGGTTGGTAGCTTAGTCCTTTCAGGCTGCTGTAACAAAGTACTATCTACTGGGTAGGTTATAAATAACAGAAATCTCTTTCTCACAGTTCTGGAGGCTGAGAAGTCCAAGGTCAAGGTGTCTGGTGAGCACAGCTTCCTGGTTCAGAGTCAGCCCCTTCTTGCTGTGTCCTCACGTGGTGGAAGGAGCAGGGCAGCTCTCCCGGGCCTCTTTTATAAGGGCACTAATCTTATTCATGAGGGCTCCACCCTCATGATCTAATCACCCACCAAAGGCCCCACCTCCTAATATCTTCACATTGGTCATTAGATTTCAACATAAGAATTTTGAGGTGTCATAAAATTCAAACTGTAACAACTAAAACCCTTCCCAAGTTGGACTCTGCAAGGGAAGGAGGTTGCAGAGCAAATGAGCCTGGGGTGGGACTGTTTGGGTGGCATTCTCTTGGATGTAACTGTACTCAGGTTGGATCATCCGTTTTCTAACATGGAGGGTGCCTTTAATGAGGTGTTGGCCAGATGCCCTGATTTATCTGCTTTTGCATTAACCTGGAACCACAGAAACCAGCCTATGAGAATTTGAAGGGCTATGAGGCATATTTCAACCATTGTCCCCAGCCCCCCACTTTTCTTTCAATGGAGAAATAGAAGTCCCAGAGTAGTCCCATGGAATATGGCTTGTGAAATGGCAATCTGTGTGATGTGACTTGATAGTAATTTAGAAGTCCTCCTGTTTTCATTAACTTATACTTTCTTGCTATTTGTTATTATTATTTTTTTTTTAGTGTAAGAGGTTATCAGCCAGCTAAAATCCCAAAGCATGTTTACCATCCATTGACACAACCCCACCAACATTTGTTTAGTCCTTCCTAGTATGCAGAGCACACACATAGTCACCATTTCATGTGATCTGAATTTCAGAGCAGCCCTCTGAGGTAGGTGTATGGTTAATCCCAACCTGAAGATGAGAAAATGAAGACTTAGTGAGGTCTGGGTCTCATTCATGGTTACTTAACTTGGATTCTTGACTTAGTAGCCAATACCACATCAGTTGGCTCATCAGAAAAGTGATTGTGAAATCTCTGAAGGTTGGCAGCTGTGGGACTTATCTGGAATCTGGTATTTTATAAGTGAGAGAACTAGGAGAGGGTAGATAATTTCCCTCCCTCATGCAAACCTGGGTTTTCTACAGGTGTTTTGTTTGTTGCATTTGGTTCAGCAGTAGTTGATACGTTTTGTTCTCCCAGTTAATGAGTTTCTGTTTGATATTGCAGCTGGCAGACTTCAGGGAGGTGGTGTCCCAGATGCTAGGCTTGAACCTGACCAGCCTTGCTCTTCCTGATTATGAAATCGTCAAGTGTCTTGAAAGACTGATCCATTCACATCAGCATCACTTTTTTACCTGTGCCTGCCTCAAAAATGTGTCTGCCGGGCAAGATAGGCACCCACAAGGCCATTTACAACTTCTTCATTGAACACTGTGTCTCTTGAGAGAGGTGGCCCTAAGATGTGGGACACAATTCCCAATTTCACAGATTCCTCATGTCTTTGAGATTTGATCAGTTTGTGAATATTTTATGCTTTGATGATATAGTGAGAATGCATCACTTGCAAGAACAATCTCAAAAGTGTCAGCTTTAGATAAACGCTCAGCGTTAAAAACGCCTATGATTTCATTTACTAGCATTTTAGGATCCAGAAGAATTCCACCAGATTGCATGAGTTAGATTGGGAAATGGGAGTGGGAGATTAACATTGGGGGGTATCTATTTTAAGTCAGGGGCTTTACTGGCCAATTTAGTTCTCATAATAACCATGTAGAGAAGATGTGACATTTTTATTTTACAACCTTTCTGGGGCTCAGACATGGAGTTATCTATCCAAGGTTGAGGTTGGGTAGTGGTGGAACCAGGATGGACAACTCATTGGCCCGGCCTCAAAGGCCATGCCTCTTCTCCTGCTACATAGACTCGGCTTTTCCTGAATCTCTATGATGCTGGTGGGAATTGCTTGCATATAGGGAGAAAAATACCCCTGCCATCAAGAGGTGATATCTAGGCTGGGCACGGTGGTTCACGCCTGTAATCCCAGCACTTTGGGAGGCCAAGGAGGGTATATCATTTGAGGTCAGAAGTTTGAGACCAGCCTGGCCAAGATGGTGAGACCCTGTTTCTACTAAAAATACAAAAAATTAGTCAGGTGTGGTGGTGCGCGCCTGTAATCCCAGCTACTCAGCAGGAAAAGCACTTGAACCCAGGAGACGGAGGCTGCAGTGAGCCAAGACTGTGCCACTGCACTTCAGCCTGGGCAACAGAGTGAGACTACATCTCAGAAAAAAAAAAAAAAAAAAAAAAAAAAAAAGTTAATGTCCATAAATGACAGATTTACAAGTGTAAACTATGTGAGTTCTTCAAAAAAGCAAAAGCAATATACCTAATTCATTTGGATCAAACTTACATCGGTCTCAGGTCCTGTAAGAAACTTGCCTGTTCTAACTGTTGCTGCCAGATTACATCTGGTGGTAATTGTTAATGTTTCAGCAGGGCTGACCTCAGTCCTTTAAACTGGAAAGCTTTATTGTGAGCCCAACCTTATAAGATGAAGAAATCCTATACAGTCTTATTCACCAATATATCCAATACACCCACAGCAATGGTAGCTTTTTAAGGTCCGGATTTTATTATGAATTCCCGTCACTTTCTGTTTTCCATTTAAATTTCTATTTTACAAGTTTTTCAGGGAATCATATTCTTCACTGAGAAAAATGTGTTACTCTTTTGGACAATTTATCTTATTTCTATCATATAAAATGTATTTTTTTTTATTGTCCTTAAAAGAAACTCTAGCATGAAATTAAAGGAAAGGGGAAAAAATAGATCTGGTGCACCCAAACATTAGGAGAAAATGAAAAATATACAGCCACCCATTTGTGAGTCATCAAAAAGTCAAAGTCAGCCTGGTCAACATGGCAAAACCCCATCTCTACAAAAAATACAAAAATAAGCTCGGTGTAGTGGCGTGTGCCTGTAATCCCAGCTACTCAAGAGGCCGAGACATGAGAATTGCTTGAACCCAGGAGGCGGAGGTTTCAATGAGCCGAGGTCGTGCCACTGTACTCCAGCCTGGGCAAGAGAGAGAGAGACCTTGTCTCAAAAAACAAAACAAAAAAAGTCAAAGTCATAATAAGCAAATTATTGGCTTCTTTCTTCTAGACTAAAAGAAATTAAAGAGTTGAAACAATCAATTGCAAGGGCTGAAACTAGATTGGATCTTGGTTTGAATTTAAAAAAAGCATAAAATATTCTTGCAATAATTGTAAAAATTTGAATGCGGACTAAGTCCTAGATTGTATTAAAATATTTTTAATTTTTTAAGCTTGACAAACGCACTGATTGTTATACTTTAAATAACTAAAAATCCGAGAATCCACAGTGCTACAGAAAATAAGTGATAAAATGGGAAAAAATAGTGAGGAACTTCTTTTAGGAAAACTACCAATAAATGTAGAATGGATGATTCAAAAAAAAAAAAAAAAAAAAGATGAAAGAAAAGGAAAAATCTGAAAGAAAGAAATGAATTTGACACCTACTGGTTGGATGACAGACCACACAGAGGGATGGTGACCAGGCTTTGCTTGTGGAGCGGACATCCCTGCCCGGCTTTCTCCTTTATGTGCACGGACAGTATGAGTAGCATTTTGCATGTGAGTAAACATACCTGCGCAGCCCTGACTGAGGTCGCCAGGCTGGCCAGAGGCAGGACAGGCAGTCTTGAATTTCCTCTGGGGAAGGCCTGCAGTTTTCCCCACCAACCCCTTTTCACATGCTCCAAAGATGTAGTCGTGGCTGCTATTTTGGATCCAAAATCACCTTGAGTGGAGGAAGTGACTTCACTAGGTCCCTGGAGGCTCTCAGAGCTTGAGTGGTTCTGCTCCACCCTGAATCATGCACCCATAAATGCAGTTATGGGTGGATGTGGGTATATGAGAGTGGAGATTGTTTTTGTCCTTTCCCTTTGTTTTCATTTTCCAAATATAATCTTTAATAAATTTGATTTAGTTTCTTGGGAAATTTATTTTCTACACTATTCAAAAATATTTTAAATAATATTTTCAAAACATGAAATATATTTTTTTCATTTTTGATTTAGTGTCATTAATCATATATCAGGATTTATGTAAGAGACTAAAAATGATCCATAGTGGTTAGTACTGTACTTTCTGTTTATTACATGAAATTACATTCCATTT